TATCTTTGAAAATGACCCATGTGCACTTGAGAAGAATGTATATTCTGTGGCTTTGGGGTGAAATGTTCTGAAGATGTCAATTAATTCTATCTGATCTAGTGAGTCATTTAGGATTGATATTTCTTTGCTGATTTTTTTATTTAGAGGATTTGTCCAATGGTGATAGTGGGGTATTAAAGTCCCCTACTATGACTGTATTGCTGTCAGTCTCTCCCTTGATATCCTCCAGAAGTTTTTTTATGTACTTGGGTGTTCCTATATTGGGTGCGCATATGTTTACCAGAGTTATTTCTTTTTCTTGGATTGCTCCCTTTAGTATTATGAAGTGGCCTTCCTTATCTGTTGTTATGTCCTTCACTTTGAGATCTAATTTGTCAGATATAAGTATTTACCCCAGCTCTTTTTTTTCATTTCCATTCGCCTGAAAATTTTTTTTCTCTCCCTTCACCATCAGTCTGTGTGAGTCCTTTTTTCTGAGGTGGGTTTCCTGTAGACAGCAGATATATGGGTCATGTTTTCTTATCCACTCAGCTACCCTATGTCTTTTGATTGGGGCATTAAATCCATTTACATTTACAGTTATTATTGTCCCTAACCGGTTTGGCTCAGTGGATAGAGCGTTGGCCTGTGGACTCAAGTGTCCCAGGTTCGATTCCAGTCAAAGGCATGTACCTTGGTTGTGGGCACATTCCCAGTGGGGAGTGTGCAGGAGGCAGCTGATCAGTGTTTCTCTCTCATCGATGTTTCTGACTCTCTATCCCTCTCCCTTCCTCTCTGTAAAAAATCAATAAAATATATTTTTAAAAAAAGATAAAAGAGACACAAGACATTAAAAAAAAATAAAGTTATTATTGATAGATACTTGTTTGTCACCATTTTTATTCTTTACGCCTGTGTTCCTTCTTTGCTTCCTATTTCTTCTTTTTACAGCAGACCCTTTAGCATTTCTTGCATTGCTGGTTTGGTGGTAATAAACCCCTTAGTCCTTTGTTGTCTGTGAGGCTCCTGATTTCACCCTCAATTTTGATTGATAGCCTTGCTGGGTACAGTAGTCTTGGATTCAGACCCTTCCTTTGCATTACTTTGTATATTTCATTCCATTCCCTTCTGGCCTGATTTGTTTCTGTTGAGAAATAAGTTGCTAGTCTGATGGGGGATCCTTTGTAGGTAACTTTCTGTCTCTCTCTGGCCGCTTTTAATATTCTTACTTTGTTGTTGGTGTTTGCCAATTTAATTATAATGTGCCTTGGCATCGGTCTTTTGGCGTTCATTTTGTTTGCGACTCTGTGAGCTTCTTGGATTTGTGTGAGTTTTTTCTTCCCTGTATTAGGGAAGTTTTCTGTCATTATTTCTTCAAACAGGTTTTCTATTCCTTGCTCAGTTTCCTCTCCTTTGGTACTCCTATTATGCGGATGTTGTTTTGTTTCGTGTTGTTCCAAAGTTCCCTTAGGCTCTCCTCCTCTTTTTTAAGTTTTTTTTTTTCTAGATGATGCTCTACTTGGGTATTTTTTCCTACCTTGTCTTCTAGCTCACTGATGTAGTCCTCTGCTTCTTCTAGTCTACTGTTGATGCTTTCTATTGAGTTCTTTATAGCAGTGATGTCATTTTTCATTTCTTCTTAGTTCTTCTTCATTTCCTTTTGGTTCTTACACATATTGTTGAATTTGTCTTCCATTCTTTTCAGTGACCTTATGACCATTTCTCTGAATTCTTTCTCTGACATATTGCTTGCCTCCACTTCGTTTACTTCCTTTTCTGGTGATGCCTCCTTTTCTTTCATATGCGGGTTGTTTCTTTGTCTCCTCATGATCTCTCTTCTCCGGGTGTCTGGTTATGTAGCTCTCTCTCTCCTTTCCCTTGGTGAAATCTGACCTTTCCGTGAGAAGGTGCAGAGCTCCTCTGAGTCTGTGTATTCGTGCTGCTTGAGATCTGGTGTTCCTGGGTTTGCAGCTGGTCCCTGGGTGTTGTGGTTGCAGAGTCCTGGGATGTATAGGCCTCCGATAACAGCCACTCTCCCCTTCAAGATGGCCCGGACTCCGCGGCAGAGCCAGTTGCTCCGGGAGAGATTTCAGCAGCAGTGGAAACTGCCCTGAGCAGGGGAGCCCCGTCTGGCAGTCCCCAACAGTCCCTTGGAGTATAGCTGTCCCTCACCCACAAATATACACTCCCCGTACATCCACACACTCTCCTTTCATTCTCTCACTCACATACCATCCTGCAGTCTGTCTTCCCATCAGCAGCCATCTTCCTGAATTTTTTCTTTTGTCATCTCTTTTTGTCAGAATACAGACATCTGAATCATCATTAATATATAATAGGAGGGGAAATCTATAAAATTGAAAATTTAATAAACTTTACATTTTTACTATATTTGCTTGAACTATTTAATAGTCAGTGTAAGAATCTAAGACTTAGAATCATCTGTAAGGCTGCTCCTTGGCAGGGGTATGGAAAATAGTATTATAATGAGATTTTATGGTATATTTGCATTCTAGGCTTTGGTGGCTGATCCTATATAATAAAAACCTAATATGCTAAGTGTCTGGTCATCCAGTCGTTTGTTCAACCAATCAAAGTGTAATATACTAATGATATACTAAGGCCGCTCAACTGCTTGCTATAATGTGCACTGACCACCAGGGAGCAGATAGTTGACCGGTCGACTAGTCATTATGACGTGCAGGGGGCAGGCTCTCTGACTGGTAGGTTAGCTTGCTGCTGGGGTCTGGACAATCGGAACTGAATGAGATGGGCTGGACACGCGCTGGAGCCCTCCTGCGGACCCTCCCCGGCTGGACAACTCCCGCATCCCTCCCTGGCTCTGATCGTGCACCGGTGGGGTTCCTTGGCATGGCCTGTGCCCTCTTGCATTCCAGGACCCCTTGGGGGATGTTGGAGTGCTGGTTTCAGCCCGATCCCGCAGGCCAGGCCAAGGGATCCCATTGGTGCATGAATTCGTGCATTGGGCCTCTAGTAAAAATATATATTACAATAGATGTTAAAATTAATTTTTTTGTTTTTGAGGTTTACCCTAAGGTTTATTTTAATAATAAAGTATAATAGTAATGTAATAGTTGTGTAATCAATACATATATTCAAGCACTCTATTTCATGTTTCTAAAATATAATACAACTGCCCCTCTGCTTTTTTTGTTATTACAATATCATTGACCATATTTCTGATGCTGTACTTTGCAGTCTCCATGGCTGTTTTGTAACTGCTAATCTGTACTTATCAATCCCTTCACCTTTTTATGCTGAGAGTATGTTTTCAATGAACATTTTTTCTATTTTAGGTATTGAGCTATACTTGACGTTTTCAAGAGTGATTTTTTTGTTTTCCTTCTTAGTCTGATCTGAAGTGTGTCCAGGATGCCAAAGGAGGTTCTTTCTACAGAGATCACTGCCCTGTGCTAGGTGAGTTAGCAGAATGGAGGAAATAACTAAATAATGGGTCAGAATTCATGGAATCATTAAAATATTTAAGTGGACTTTTAACAAATTAGTTATCATTAAAGCTATTTGAAGAGATATTTTTTTGGTCTTATTTTGGTTTTAAAGAATTTGTCCTTTTTAAAAATATATATATATTTTTATTTCAGAGAGGAAGGGAGAGGGAGAGAGAGATAGAAACATTAATGATGAGAGAGAATCATTGATTGGCTGCCTCCTACACACCCCCTACTGGGGATTGAGCCCACAACCTGGGCATGTGCCCCTGACTGGAATCAAACCTGGGACCCTTCAGTCCGCAGGCCGACGCTCTATCCACTGAGCCAAATCAGCCAGGGCAAGAATTTGTTCTTTTTAAATGATTTATGTAGGCACTGAGTTGTCATATCTTGAGAATTGACATGCCATTTATGTCATAATATATTTGAAACTTTTTCTTTTAACTGTAAACTTGTTATTGAAAAACTTTGTATTAGATATTACTTCTCTTCACTATTACGAATAGAATCTGACAATTTAAAGCTTATGGAATCCTTAGCTTATGGAATCTTTCCTTTCTAATGCAAGAACAACTCCCAAGATTAAGGTAACATAATAAATATAATTTCACTTATCATTAAAATAAAAAAGAATAAGAAAACCAAAACTACCTTCATTTTATTGATCTTTATTGTTGTCATGATGAACATTTACCACATTTATCTGATTAAGCCTTTAGTCTCTGAATGCTTTTCTTTCTCATGTAGACTCTTTGTTCCTCTTTCTAAATTATTGGATTTGCCTTTTTGATAAAAAGTGCTCTTTTCTTGCATGACACCTTATTATTTTTAAAGGAGAATATAGAAGAAATACATATGTTTTTGCTGAGAGCATCCATTTCTCTTGCTACCAGAAACTTTCTTGCGATCCCAGGTTTTGGCACCAAAAAAAGTAACTCTTATGTCTTGCCTTCACACAAAAAGGATAGAACATGCACATTTGTATCTCTCATTGTAGTGTTTCATGATTATGAATCTTTGAAGTCCTACAGCTTGTTCTTGTTTAAAAATAATGCAGTTGCATGTTGTTGCTATAACTTTCTTTTTCCTTCGTCAACCCCCTCTGCAATTACAGGTGAGCAGAATGGCAACAGAAATCCTGGTGGGTTGCAGATTGGTGACCTGGTAAATATAGACCTTGACCTAGAAATTGTACAGTCTTTGCAGCATGGTCATGGAGGATGGACTGATGGCATGTTTGAGACTTTAACTACAACTGGAACTGTTTGTGGCATTGATGAAGATCATGACATTGTAGTACAGTATCCGAGTGGCAATAGGTTGGTGCTATTTCTTAATTTTCAGTAATGGGAAATAAAGCTAGAGAAAAGAGTCTTAAAGAAAGCAAATAATCTGCTATAACCAAAGAGTCTTTAAAGGTAGCTCTCAGTAGGTAAAAATCTAGAATATGTTGGTAAGGTGGAAGGGAATAAATGTCAAGAAGTATGTGTGTGTGTGTGTGTGTGTGTGTGTGTGTGTGTCTCCTTCAGGGAGCAGAATATATTGTGTCATCATTAGGTCCAAGTATAGCAAAAAGTTTTGTGTTCACAATGAGTCCATTTATCCTGAATGAGAAGGATAAAATTAATACTCTTCTGGCCCATATCTCCAGGGTTATATCTTGGTAACACAGCTTTCCCTGCCACAGACACATACACACATACTAATCCTTATCAGCAACATAGAGTTACATGCATTTTCTCACTTCTTTTCCTTTGCACATACCATTCCCTTCATGCAGAATACCCTTCCCTCCTTTATCCCCTCTTTCTCTGGATTAACTGGTTTGCATCCTATAGATATTGAGCTTAGTTAGATACTTGGGAATCTCCTCTCTTCTTCTGCTCTCCTTGGTGTATGCATACATTATTCATCTGTTTAGGTCTCCTGTTATCTATTAAAATGATTATTTATTTGACCTCTAGGTTGCGAGTTTCTTGGAGACTGGGCCTGTACCTTTTATGTATTTGCTCTTTAGGCAAAATATGTCTAATTTACTTGTATGTTTATGACATTTTAAAGAAAAAGCAGTAGTTAAATTGAATAATTGTCCAACTTTATTGCTGACATGTACATAAAGAAACTCTGAGGTTATATTTTTCTGCTTTTTAAATTTTTTTATTTTTCAATTACAGTTTACATTCAATATCTTTTGAATTAGTTTCAAGTGTACAGCATAGTGGTTAGACAATCATATACTTTACAAAGTGTTCCCCCAATACTTCCAGTACTCACCTGGAACCATACATAGTTATTACAATATTATTGACTATATTTCCTATGCTATATCTGTGACTATTTTGTAATTACCAATTTGCACTTCTTAATCCCTTTATCTTTTTCACCCAATTCCTCCTGAGGTTCTCTAGGGAATTAGAAAAATTAACATTAAGTTGCTTACCAAAGTATAGAATTCTAATTGTATTCAGATTTTATACATGATTAGAGGCCCGGTGCATGAAATTCATGCACTGGTCCGGTCCCTAGGTCTGGCTGGCGATCGAAGCGTGAGCATCTGGTGTGGAAGGGCAGGTCCCAGCTGACCTCTGGGCCCTGGGCAGCACTTGGGCCCCTGTTCACCCCCTTTCGCCTGAGTTATTGGGTGCCCTTCTGGCTCCCTCAGTGCCTGGGATCCGGGCGGCGGCCCCCACCCCTTCTGCCGCCGCTGGTCGCCGTCTGCAGGGCGATCAGCAGGGCGATTGGGCCCAGCTTGCACCCGCCTTGGCCTGGTGCCACCCGCTCACGTGCTCCACCATCCCGCTGCTGTCCCACTCTTGTTGGGGCCCATTGGGGCCAGCAGTGCCTCCACTGCCGCCTGCTGCCAGCACCATGTCTCCCACGCCTGCCATGTTCTGCGCCGCCCACTGGTGGTCAGTGCACATCATAGCGAGCGCTTGAACGCCCAGTCAAACTCCCGGTCGAGGAGACAATTTGCATATTAGGCTTTTATTATATAGGATCATGTCAAGAGATGCAGAAAAAACATGACAAAATCTAACACCCTTTTATGATAAAAACTCTAAATGTTAGGTTAACACAAATTAGGATGATTACTTGCAGAATTCTTTCTTGGGCAATGGTGTTAACAGTAATAATGACATTTGAGTTTTAGAAAATAACTTCTTTTTCTTCTTTATTCAACAAAAGTTTATTAAATACTAATTTATGAAATACTGTGTTGGGCCCTGTGATTAGTGGTAGGATTATAAACACATTAAGACATGGTTCTCTGCTTTGAAGGGGTTTTACTTTTAGTTTGGATAGACAAAACCAAAAATATTCATTAATGTGTTGTAAGTAATTATGAGAGTGAGTATTCAGGGTATTCTGAAGGTACAAAAGAAGAGTGATCATTTCAGTTGGGCAAATCATAGAAAAACTTCAGAGAGAAAATTACATTGTGCATCAGATTGAAAGATCAACTCGATTTTCACCAAGGAAGGGGAGCACTGTAGGCAGAGGGAACAACTTAAATAAATACTGCTGTGTCCAGGCACTATAATAGATCTGGTAAATTTTGGAATATTGAGTGAGACAAAGGGGACTGTGATTGATAAAGCCACAAAGAAAACTTTGTGTATCTGATTTTTATTCTTAACTGATCAGAGGCACTTCTTTCTCTTTATGGTTGTTTTACAAAGCAAAGTGTATTTGGTTACAGAACTTTAGTAAATAAGTTTTTTTATGTTGTGACCACGCAACATCTATACTAATAAAAGGGTAATATGCAAATGGTCTGGACACCCTCATGTGTAAACGACTGACCAGCAGGCTCTATGCGCAGCAGGCTCAGGTGGGAGGGACTTGCAGTGTCGGGGACTTGTGTCCCGCTGTCACAATCCATCATCAGGAGGCCTGGGGCCTGGTGGCTGCCTCTGTGCGGCCTGGGGGTGGGGCCCAGCAGAGGCCTCCGTGCGCCTGCGCCAGGGGTCCAGAAGCCTCTGTGCGGCCTGGCCCGGGCACGGGGCCTGGCGAAGGCCTCTGCGTGGCGAGGCCTGGGGGTCCCTTGGCTCTGCGCGGCATGGAGGTGGGACCCTGGTTCTGGCCTACCTCTTTGGGGCAATCCATTGAGGAGCCCCGGATGGGTGGGCGGGGCCTACCTCGTTGGGGTGATGGATCGTGGGGCTCCCGCACTGTGACAGGGCACAGACCAGGCTGGGGGCCCTCCACCCCCCGAGTGCATGAATTTCATGCACCAGGCCACTAGTCTTTTATATAATAACTAGAGGCCCGATGTATGAAATTCGTGCAAGGGGTTCGGCCCTCACAGCCCCTTGCAGCCTCAGCTGGCCCTAGCAGCCCTGGCTTTGTCCGGACAGTTGTCTGGAAGGACATCCCAGAAGGCTGTACAGTCTAATTAGCATATTAGTTCTTTATTATATAGGATGACCCTATTATAAAAGCTTATTTGACTAGGGAAACTTTTATTTATTTAAAAAAATATTTTTATTGATTTTAGAGAGGAATGGAGAGGGAGAGAGAGATAGAAACATCAATGATGAGAGAGAATTACTGATTGGCTGCCTCCTGAATGCCCCCTACTGGGGATGGAGCTCGCAACCCTGGCATGTTCCCTTGACCAGAATTGAACTCGGGACTCTTCAGTCCCCAGGCTGATGCTCTATCCACTGAGCCAAACCAGCTAGGGTGACTATGGAAACTTTTATCTTTGGAGTTGGACTAGGAGATATATATATATATTATGATACAATTATTTGGTAGAATGTTAAGTAGCCAATAAAATGGTAGTTATGAAAATGGTAGCAGCATAGAAAAATGCTTATGTATAGAAAAGAAGAAATCAGAACCCAAATTTGTTTTGCTAAAGTGATTACAATCATGTACAATACCCATCCATGACAAGTTAAAACTAAATACTATTTTTAGCCATGAGATTGGCAATGATATAGAGAAATGGTCTACTCTGTAGAGCAGATTGGCTCTATTTATTAGAATTGTAAACAAATTGTATACTTTAATTAGGTAATTCTTCCAAGAATTTCTAATGAAATACTGACCCCATGTGCACAAGGATGTTTATAAAGAGATGTTCTTTATAGTATTGTTCGTAATACTGTAGTGAAAATTTGGAAATACTTTATTTAAAAAAAAATATTTTTATTGATTTCAGAGATGGAGAGAGTGATAGAAATATCAATGATGAGAGAGAGTCATTGATTAGCTGCTCCTGCACACCCCATACTGGGGATCGAGCCCACAACGCAGGCATATGCCCTGACTGGGAATTGAGCCAGTGACCTCCTGGTTTATAGGTTGACGCTCTACCACTGAGCCACACCGGCTGGTCGGAAATACTTTAAGTAATTAGTGTTTATCCATGTTATAGAATACTCTGTGGCCATTAAACTGAAATAAGTAGTTCCATGTCTGTGACATTGATAAATAAATCTTCCCAGGTACATTCTCTGAGAAAAAAGAAGCCACAGAATTATATTGTAATTCCATTTATGGAAAAGAAAGCAGTTCTTTTCCTACATTATAATTATCGCTTAGCATATTGATAGATATGCACGGATACACAATGTAGTATTAATAGTGGCTTCTAATGGAGTGGGGAATGGTGATCCAAATGTGTGTGTAATGGAACTGTCATTTGTCAACAAAAATTATCAGTATCAGTTGTGGAAAGAGAAGAAACTTTATTCAGGTTTATAAATCTAGGAAATGCAACCTCTGGTGAAAACAAAGTGTTATATTTCATAGAGAAAGTTCCTCCCTGGTGTCTGTGAATTTTTATACAAATGAGAAATTGAAATTGCAGAGTTCTGATTAATTCAAATGGTATGGTCCTCATTGGTCAAAATTGTTTATTCTGATTTGGTCATTATGGGGCATCTCTGATTGATCAGATAGAGCAAATGATATAGCTGCACAGTTCTGATTGGATGTGGCAGGTCTCAGTCCATTGGTCAAAAGATGATACCAGGAACTCCCTTGTAAGGACTGACTCAGAATTCAGAAACAGGGTGCAGGAGGCTGGCAGCTCACTCTGTAGCTTTTCCCTCAAATGCAGAATGTGTGAGTGGCCTGTGTCCACATGGCTGCTAGACTTGGGCCCAGTTAACCCTGAGGAGTCCTTCTTGGCAGATATGCTCCTTCTCAAGGTTCCCATACTTTACATGGTTCTGAAAAGTTTTAATTTGTAACAATGAATGTGTATTATTTTTATAACAATTTTTAATATGCAAAGGGTAATATATCTACACAGAAGTATATCTATCATATTAGGGTGGTGAGATTATGATGATTCTTTTCCCAAATTTGTATTTTAAAATTATAAAATGAAATACAAATAATTCAGGATGTAATTATAAAGGATGGCTTTACTTTTTTTGATGTGTTATAAGGCTTTTCTCCCGGCCATGATTAACAAAAAATGTTATGTTAAAATTAAACTTAACTCATTTTGAGTTTTGGCTTTGATCCTTAGGTGGACCTTCAATCCTGCTGTTCTCACTAAAGCAAACATTGTCCGAAGTGGGGATGCTGCTCAAGGTGCAGAAGGAGGCACCTCACAGTTTCAAGTGGGTGATCTTGTACAAGTTTGTTATGATCTGGAAAGAATTAAGCTTCTGCAAAGAGGACATGGAGAATGGGCTGAAGCTATGCTCCCAGTAAGTATATATAAAATAGTTTTGGACTAGGAATTATACCATGCTTATGTAATTTTTAGAAGTACTTTAATTTTATAAACTAAATTAGCATAATCCTTTGAGAATTTTGTTCTTTATTGGCATCTAGGCATAATTATGCCTTTTATTTTTTAAGTTATTCTAGTTAAATTAGCCAGGGAAGGTCCAAAAAGGGCTACAGTTAATATTTTTTGATAGAGTCATTAGTGGAGAGTGTAATGTAGGGATAAAGTATTAATGGGGACTAAATACTATTATTTAAAATAAAAATATTAGTGAAGAAAGAGGGTACAGGGAAGAACACCTGAAAGACAAATTTTAATATTGTCTATACTAGTGCACCAATAAACTATATATATTTTAAGTGAGGGAATGTGGATATATATGGAAGGGTATTATTGTAAATGTAACCATTAGGACAATATAGCTTAATATAAAGTTTTAATATAAACTTTATATTTAAAAGAGAAAAACAATGGGAGGATTAACTATAAAGTTTTTAAAAAGTATTCATATATAAAAAAGGAATATGACACAGGACAGCAGTAGAAGAGAGACATCTTTGAATATGTCTTATTTTATAGATTTGACTTGAAACTACATATTTTATACAACTATAAAACAAATTCAAAAATGAAACTCCTAGAAGTGGAAAATAAAATGAAACAAACCTAAATGTATTTTCTGTTGGCGTCCTATCTAATAAAGAGGGAATATGCTAATTGACTGTCATGCTGTTGCAAAGATGGCGGAGTCCACAGCCAATAAGAAAGGAATATGCTAATTGACCTCCACGCCCTCAAAGATGGCAGTGCCCACAGCCAATCAGGAGGGACTATGCTAATTGACCGCCACACCCTCAAAAGATGGCGGCGCCCACAACTAATAAGGGAATATGCTAATAGACTGCCACGCCCTCAAAGATGGTGACGCCCACAGCCAATAAGGAGGGAATATGCTAATTGACTGCCACACCCTCAAAGATGGCGGCACCCACAGCCACAAGATGGCAGCGCCCAGTCCCCTCAGCTCCGCCAGGGCGGCAGGCATGTGGCAAGGCTGGGCTCCGCGCACCTGCCTCCAGAGTCCGCAGTCTCCTCAACCCCCCAGCCGCCCAGGGCTGGCCCGAGGCGCAGGCAAGCCTCGGATGGCGGCTGCCCAGCCTCCTAGGGCTGCCCGAGGCTCAGGTAACCAGGGCCGGCCAAGGTTTGCGCTGCCGGCAGTGGCAGCAGCAGAGGTGTGATTTGAGCGTCGCCTTCCCCTGATTGCCGGGTCGCCTCCCAATCCTGAGGGCTCCTGGACTTGTGAGACAGGGCAGGCCGGGCTGAGGGATTCCCCCCTCCAGTGCATGAGTTTTCATGCACCGGGCCTCTAGTAACCATATAAAAAGGAAACTCCAAATGATTTTTAAAAACAGTAGTTTGTCTTTATATCCTTATAGAAGAAATATACCCTACAGAATTACAAGGAAAAAGAAATATTGTTGTCTTCTTTTGTGTGTTTGAGATTTTCCATAATGAACAGGTAAGGAGGAAAAAACAAAGAATGCAGCTACTCCCAGAGTTTGAGATCATGGTGGAAAATTCCAAGTGAAAATGTCTTACAAGAACTTAAAATTGGTGTGTGTTGCGGGGCAAGGAGAGAGTTAAACAGGGCTAGAGAAGTATATTTTCAAGTCTTTTGAAGTAAGATGATAGTTGTCAATGTGGATTAAGTTTTCAAAGAAGAAGAGTAAAAAATGAATGAATAAATTTTTGGAGAATGAACATATTTGGGGATCTGAAGAAGGAAAAGGAACCTGTGAGTGGAAGAAGGGGAGAAACAGACAGAAAGATTAGACTGTCATCTAGAAATCAATGGAATAGTTTCTTAAAGTTAGGGTCAGATGCTGCAGAGAAGTCAAAAGAGAAAACAAGTCAAGGCAATTTCTTCTCTGTGTTAGAAAGTAGTCAGATATCATTACTATACTTCACCAATTTTCTAGTATTGTTATTTGCTGCTAGAGACTTGGTGCATGAACTTTGTGCACTTGGGGGTGTTCCTCAGCCCGGCCTGCGCCCTCTCACAGTCCTGGAGCCCTCGTGGGATGTCCAACTGATGGACATCCTTAGCGCTGCCATGGAGGCGGGAGAGGTTCCCGCCACTGCTGCTGCGCTTGCCAGCCATGAGCCTGGTTTCTGGCTGAGCTGTGCATCCCCTGTGGGAGCACACTGACCACCAGGGGCAGCTCCTGCATTGAGCGTCTTCCCTTGGTGGTCAGTTCGTGTCATAGCGACTGTTCGTTCCGCCGTTCAGTTGATTTGCATATTAGCCTTTTATTATATAGGATTCTATTATGTTTAAGAGAATGGATTTTGGAACTAAGTTTGAAATGGGGCTAATGCTAGCACTTAACTTTCAGGGTTATAGTATTAGGTAGGTCAATACATATAAAGCTCTTAGAACAGTGATTTCCAACTGGTGTGCTGCGAAAGGCACACCGGAGTGCTGCAAGAATTTTGAAACATACAATACCTTCCTATTTAGTCAGGGCACTGATTTCTTTTCCCTTAAACCAGCGGTTCTCAACCTGTGGGTCGCGACCCCTTTGGGGGTCGAACAACCCTTTCACAGGGGTCACCTAAGACCATCGGAAAACACATATATAATTACGTATTGTTTTTGTGATTAATCACCATGCTTTAATTATGTTCAATTTGTAACAATGAAATTGGGGGTCACCACAACATGAGGAACTGTATTAAAGGGTCACGGCATTAGGAAGGTTGAGAACCACTGTCTTAGACTGTCAAATAAAGAAATGATGACAGCCAACACAGCAGTAGCTGTCCGTGTGAATGCCCTGTCTTGAAAGTAGTCGGATATTATTACTATACTTTACCAATTTTCTAGTATTATTATTTGCTATTATGTTATGTTTAAGAGAATGGATTTTGGAACTAAGTTTGAAATGGGGCTAATGCTAGCACTTAACTTTCAGGGTCATATATATATAGGTCATATAGCAGAGTTGTTTTTTATTGTTCATGGCACATAAAGTTGTGTCTTATTGGTTAATGCTTGGTAACAGAAATCTTTATATACAAGTATAGACACCCGATTCTTAAAAACGTCACTTTGGAGCAAAAAGCATAGGTAATTACTATTATTATATTTGTAAACCAATAAAAATTATACCTTTTTTTTGGCAGATCAAAAAAAAATATACAGTTTTGGCTCTGGCCAGTTTGACTCAGTGATTGGAGTGTTGGCCTGCAGACCAAAGGGTTGCAGGTTCAATCCCCGCCCTGGTTGAGGCACGTTTGGGAGACAACTAATAGATGTGTCTCTCGCACATCATTGTTTCTCTCTCTCCCCTCTCCCTCTTCCCTTCCACTCTCTAAAAATCAATGGGAAAAATATCCTCAGGTGAGGATTAACCAAATAAATAAATAAACAAATAAATAAATAAAATACTGTTTTGGGTGTGCCACAGAATTTTAGTAATTAGTTTATGTGTGCCATGACATGAAAAAGGTTGAAATTTGCTGTCTTAGAACACTAGAACAACATTTGCCACATGGTAACTGCTGTTGCTGATTGTTTTCTGTACCTTATTGCCCTTTTTTCTCCCATATTTAATAGGCATGTTATTTCTACACACTTAAGTCATGATTCAAAAAAGGATTTAAACATAGATGTAAACTTTGAGCCCTTTTAAATTTAAATATATATATATATTTTTAGAAATCAGACTTTATATTTTTAGTCTTAGATTGATGATGGATTGTGTACCACTTGAGCTCTAAGTTCTCAAGATTTATCTTCTGGGTTAAAAAAGAAGGGTTAAATATCGAAAAGCCAAAGTTTGTGGACTTTTATAAATAAGATAGATTCATGATTTATTTTTTATATTTTTGTGGAAATGTAGTTTTATTAAAATATTTTAAAAAGTTAATCTTTAAAGTTGTAATTAATGAATAACCCATTTGAGTATGGTTATTCTTTAAAAGTTTTCCTTTAGGAACAAAATAAAATAAATTATTTAAACATGTAAAACCTGGTGTTTGATTTTTATGGTATATACTATGGACTTGGAAACATGAATCTAATTTTTTTAAAAGACTTTAGGTAAAGTTGGCCGAGTACAACAGATTTATTCAGACAGCGATTTAAAGGTGGAAGTTTGTGGCACATCCTGGACATATAATCCAGCAGCAGTTTCCAAGGTGGCATCTGCAGGATCAGCCATTAGCAATGCATCTGGTGGTATGTTTTGTTTTATGTTTCTTTAAAAGTAATATGATTTACATTAGAACCTTTGCTAATTTCCCAGTTCTCATATACCAGTTATGTTGTATGTGTTCTTGGTTTTCTCTCAGATCACATAACTTTGCTTGAATGTTAACTGCCTTTTAAACTTTTATAATT